CACCTAGTCCTAGATATGCCTTCAAAAATGATTACTCTATGACTATTCATAGACTTAGTCCTTCCCAACCTTTTTTCACACACGCCCTAGCTAATGTGAATCATGTATTTATTTGCTGACTGAAGTTCTCTCTCCTGGTTTTAGAGTCCTCCCCTCATCTGTGTTCGAAGTTGCATAAACAACCTTATCTTTTGGCAGCAATTTTTGAAAACATGTAAGTCCTTTCTTTTCTCTCCACTCCTCCCTCCCGCCCCCGGTACTGTGTTGCACGAGTGCCAACTTCCTCAGCTTTTCTCTAGAGCATTGTCCTGGAATAGGACACATGGGAAAATACTGCTAATCCAGGGGGATGACTTGAGTGGATTATGGATCTGGTTTCTCTGCAGTGTTAACGGAGGGTCAAGGCCCACTGTACTTCACGCCCCGCCTTTAGAACATGAAGGCCAATATCCTGCTCACCGAACCAGCTTAAAATCGGATAACTTGGAAGCAGGTGGGTGTGGCAGCACAGTGATTTGCTGAACCACTGGCAAGCAAATATTTACACCTGCAGATGCTGCTTCACAGGTGGGGCTGAGGGTGCTGCCCAAATGAAAGTTACCTTCACAACTCTTTCCTCCTTTGCCGCATTTACGCTAAGTGTAATTGAGCCTCTTTTTAAAGTCTTCTGAAAAAGGTTTCATAATTGCCCTTGATAGAGCTCCTGAATGTTTAATGTAAATCAAATTTACTTACACATTCAATCTGCACCATATCAGCATTTACTAATCCATTGCATGTAATTCATTTCTCATTATTATTTCTTGAATAAGTGAGTGCAAAGTTGCATTCACACATCTCATTCCCACATCTCTTCCTGAATCCTTTTGTGACCTTGTGTAAAAAGGTCACCCGCTCCTGCAGCTCTTCCCTGTCAGGAAAAGTTCAGCGCATGCTGACTACATCTTGCTTGTTGCGAAGAAAGGGGCTTCCCATCTTCTGTGGAAGAACCACATTTACAAGTCCCCAGCACCTGCCTTCTTTTCTGGGTTGTATGGCCTCAGTTTCCCTGATTGCCTTTATGGCTCGCCTCTGAGCCCTCTTAAGGGTTTGTTTCTCCAGTGACATGGCACGCTCTGCAGCCCAGACACCAAGTGATGCCTGAGTCCACTTCTGAGTGAACAGCAGGCAGGAGAGTCTGAAAACACTGTGATGAATGTGTGGCCCTTTAAGAACACAGGCCAAGGCCAACCCTGAGTCCAGGAAGCAGAGTGTAAACAAGCCAGGAGCAGCAAATGGCAAGGACAGAAGCAAGACACAAAGACCTTCGTGTGTACAGGGAGGAGCGGCCTGGGGAGGGGGGGAGGCACACACAGGGCTTTGCAGGTGCAGCTGGAGTACTCACAGCTCCTTCCCACCGAGAGGGTCACCTTCGAATGTAGAGGATGGACTTGAAGGGCGAAGGGGAGAAAGAGATGCACACAGAGAAAAGGAGGAGGCAGGGAGAGGAGGGGGAAAGAGTTGACTGCATAGGACATGGAACGTGAGGAATAGACACAGCTAAGAGTGTCTCCAAGTCTGCTAAATGGGAAATAATGCATTGCACACAATGATATAGAGGAAGTCCTAATGTCTGTAGGGTGGGGTGCACATTTGAAGGCTATCCGACAGCTGCTAAGTCAGTGAGGCCTTTTCTCTTCGTGTTCTGTGGCATTAAAATCATTTGAAGGACCTTGGCTGGAAAAGTTGGGAAAGGACACATCTCTAGAACATGCTGTTCTATAGTTTTATTTCCTCCAAGAGTGCCAACACCGCAACATCCCAGGAGCCTGCTTTGATGAGGAAGTTACAGGGACAAAGCAGCTTGAACGATGCGTAAGGAAGCTACAGTGTATATAGGTATGAGTGTAGGGGTGGCACTGACTCCTTGAGAGAACCTTCTAAATGCCCACCGTTCAATATCATGAGAGGCAGCCACATGGATGGCAGGACTGCTACCTCTGGGCATCGTGATTTCACCTGCCAGTGGTGCTGGAGCCAAACACCGCCCTCCCAGGGACACCCCATGTTGGCTGGTGCTGCCGTTCTTCTACCCTCCAGTCTTCTTCATTCTCAAGGCTCAGCTTCAGACCAGCTCCAGCAGCAGGCTGTTGCCACCCACAGCCACCCTTGTTTGAACCCATAGCACTCGTTGCTGCTACCAGTTACATCTGCTCTTACTCAAGTATTTCAAGTAGATCAACATTTTGAAGCAACGAGCAGCAAGGGTCTTCATAATTACACAGAAAATTTCAGCCCTATATGAAAACTTTAAGAAAAAAAACCCCAACAATCTGAATATTTTGCAGAAGTGTTTTCCGTTAGTGCATCTAGGAGCTGGTTTCAAAACTTTAAGAAATTGGACTTCCCACTATGTCTGGGGAAGTTGTACGGGGGAGATAAAGGATTTGCAAAGACATTTCCCCCAAAGTTTTGAAAGCAATGATTGACCAAGAGGCTATCTCGGGATTGTGTTTTTAATCTTAATGAGGCAGTCATTATCAAAACACATGCCCTTGCACACTTCCCATTCTTCGGGAGAGAGCACAAGCCCCGGATATAAAGCTGTGAAGGATGGACTAACTGATGTAGATACAGTGTCTGTGAAAATCACTGTACTAATAGTTTCACTGGCATTGTTATTGTTTTTATATTGTGCTCTAGTTGTAAGTTCCCCAGTTTTTGAATGATCTGCCCCAACCCTCCTTTTCTCATAAGCCCAATTATTTTTCATGCTTGATTTTGCGGAAGTAAGATTTTTATTTGGGGTGGGGAAGGGCGATGGAGAGGATGCATATATGAAAATTACAGTAGAAAACTCAGTATTTGGAATTTCTGGCTTATTGACCTATGACACTATTTTCTGGATTCTTGTCTCATTTATAACTTTGCTGTACTGGTTTCCTATTGCTGCTGTAAGAAATTGCCACAAGCTTAGTGGCTTAAAATAACTCAAATTTGTTATCTTAGAGTGTAAAGATCAGAAGTCTGAAATGGGTCTTACTGGACTAAAATCAAGGTGGACACAGGGCTGTGTCCCTTTCTGCCTTTTCCAGCTTCTAGAAACTGCTTTCCTTCCTCAGTCATAACCAACAATCCTCAAAGCCAACAGTGGCCAGTGAGGCCATTCTGATATTTTATGAGGCTGACTCCATTGCCTTCCTCTTTTTTTTATAAGGACCCATGTGACTACACTGGGCCCAGCTGGATAGCCCAGGATAATCTCCCACCTCAGAGCTTTGATGTAATCACATTTGCAAAGACCCTTTTGTCAAGTAAGGTAACACAGTCACTGTTTCCATAGATTAGGGCATAAATATTTTAGGGCTGTTATTCTACTACTACCCTGTCATTATTTTTCCATGTAGTCATGCTTTGCTCTCCCCCACCGTCCCACCCCCCTCAACAGACTGGAAGCTTATTGAGGGGAGAGACTGCTTCTTTATCCTTTTATTCCCCACAGCAATTGCCAGATTCAGATACTCAGAGGGTATTTTTTTATCAAGGCTCCTTCCTGACTCTTAATTTGAATAGCAACCAGCTGTACTTCCATGTATGGGTTATTGTATTGGGCCAGCCGAGGTTATCTTCCCTTCTTGCTAGGCATTGGGGATGCAAAGATGATTAAATATTGCCCCCATTTTCAATAAATTTGCCTTGCAAAATTTTCAAGATGTCTGGTCAGCATCCAGGGGATCAGCCTTGAAAATATGAATAACACACACAACTAAAGATTGAAATAGGTGTGATACTGGACCGAGTGCAGTTTTACAGAACAAGGAGAGAGCTGAAGGAATGGAGAAGCCAAGCAGGGAGGGAGTCAAAGTGGGCCCATTCTTTCTCTATTTTGAATACGGTCTTAGGAAACTCAAAGTGGTAGGAGAGGTCAAGATAAAGTATGTAGGGATATAATAGTATAAAAATGAGAACCCAAAAGCTAGCAAAGCATATTTATGCCTAAATATATCAGAAAAGGAAAGGAGTGCTCACCTTATTTAGTGATACAAATAAAATTGAAAAATATAGAAAGGCAACTGGGGGGCGGGGAGGGCAGGAGGGACTGATAATAAGCAGCCTTCCGGGTTCTTTGGTTTGTCAGTCAAATGCTCAAACAAATTTGGCTTCCATCTACTTTTTAAGTTTATCTCCCTCCACCCTGAGTGATCTCCATTACCATAAGTACAATGATGTAGTCACATTGCCCTGTATTTTCCTACCTACCTGTATTTAAAAGTGCAGGCTCCTCTGCCTCGTGTTCCCGCTTGTCTGCCTCATATTTCCAGATTTAGTTAAATGCAACCACATTCATCCCAGTGAGTGAATATTTTTCCCTCCTGGACCCCCAGAGCACTTCTTTTGCAAAGTGCAGAGCCCTGAGCACATATAGCTTCAAATTCTGCAACACAAATCCCCTTATAACCGCTAAAAGCAGAATCTAGTGTGGCTGATTGTATTTTCCAAAGATGAAAAGATCACAGAGTCTCCCATTCAAGCGTTTAAAACCTTGTCATTACTCTGTGAAGATGCAGTCTAGTTCCCTTTCCTTGAACTGGACAGGTTTGTGACTCACATGTTTTATTTGCCAAATCACTGGTGGTCATGATAACCATTAATGTATGTTTGTATTATATTATCTGTCAACTAACTAGCATTTGGAAGAAAACATTTAATATGCCCTCAATTCTGTTACTGCATCTCTATCATTGGTGATGCAATAGGACACTTCCCCTATATTAAAAGGGCCAACAATAAATGTTTTCTGGTTGTTGAATATGTGTATAGAGTTGGCAGCTTATTCTGAAATTTGTCAGATAGCCCTTCCAAAATTATACTTGTGAAATATTAAAAAAAAAATTGATTGCTTAATTTCTATTGAAAAAAAAATGCAGTGGCAATGAAATTGCAGGATTCTAGGTCATAAAAGGCCACTGAGCTTCACTCTTGCCTGCTGGTGCACTTGTTCTTGGAGCCCTGAACTTCTGTGCTAGAAGTCCAACTACCCTGAGGCCACTGCACTGTGAGGAAGCCACACCACACAGACAGGCCCTAGATGGGTGCTCTAGTCAACAGTGCTCATCTTCAAATTCTCCCAGGCTTGGCACCAGACATGTGAGTAAAGGAGTCTTCAGATAACTTTATCCCCCACCTGCTGTGTCACCCCCAGCTCTAGAGGCCCCAGGTATCATGGAACTGAGGCAAGCCATTCCTGCTATCTAAAATCCAAGTCCACAGAATCCATGAGCATAATAAAATGGTCGTTTTAAGCCACTCAGTTTTGGGTGTAACTCTTTATACAGCAATAGTAGCTGGAGCTCCAAGTATGAACAGTATATATTTTTTCACTGAATTTCTATTTGGGAGTGTTCTTGAATCAGAGATATGATTACAGCCATTATGGTATTAGATAAACTAACATCCAGGACAATTAGGGGACACGTAATGGCTTCTCCAGAGCTCAGATGCAGTGCTGGATGAGAGAAAAACGTGACAAGGATCAATTCTAAGTTATTTTACTTAAAGCAAGAAAAAAATTCTTTGAGGAAGTAAATCACTTTTCTAGAAGAGAAAATTGAGCAGAGTCTGGGTTCCTAGGGGCCACTGAAAATAGGCACAACCCCCGTTCCCCATTATTCCCCAGGGTGAACTGCCTCTGGGTGTATGGTAGACCAGCACCCAGCTTAGGCAGGAATGGCCCCTGCAGGAAGAAGGAGGAAGCTTATTAGACAGGTTAGGAATTTCCAGGCAGTCTGGGAAAAGCCCTTTCTATTGCTTCTTATATATGTCTTTTTTATGTCACACTGTGGGTAAGATACACACACACACACACACACACACACACACACACACACACACTGTACGGCTGACAGTGGACAGTACTTCCTGGTGATTAGATAAAGTGATCGTTGCTGGGAAGAGAAGGGAAGTGCATGCTTCCAGTGAGTTTTGCCTGATGTGGCTGAAATGTGAGGAACCTGGCAAACTTCCCAGTCCAAGAAGTCTATGTGACAGACTGATAAGGAAAGGAGATTAATCCCCACGAAAGTTACTGAAGTGAAAGTGAGCTGTCCGTGCATGGGACCCTTCCTTATATGGAATAAAATAAAAAACAAAACACAGTAGATTTTGTAATATTATCTTGACAGTTAATATTCATCCGTATATATTGTTAAGACATTCAAGAATCCAAGTGATTATTATTTGGACTATTATTTTTCTTTGTTTAAGACATCTGAACAATGTTGCATAAATCAGGATGGGAATATAAAGTTCTTAGATTTTCTTCCCCAATTAAATTAATTCATCAATAAATACTTACTGAGCAGGTAACTAAATATGTTCATTCAGATAAATTCCAAGAAAGAAACTTTAAAAATCTGTGGTAAATGGATGTTTCCTAGAAACATACAACCTTCCAAGCCTGAATCAAGAAGAAACAGAAAATCTGAACTGACCCATTACAACTAACAAAGTCAAATCAGTAGTCAAAAACTTTCCACCAAACAAAAGTCCTGGACTAGAAGGTTTCACAGGTGAATTTTACCAAACATTCAAAGAAGAATTAACACCTATTCTTCTCAAACTATTCCAAAAAATTCAAGAGGACAGAAAGCTCCCAAGCTCATTTTATGAGGCCAGCACTACCCTGATTCCAAAACCAGACAAAGACATCACACACACAACAAAGAATATTATAGGCCTATATCCCTGATGAGCATAGATGTGAAAATCCTCAACAAAATATTAGCAAACCAAATACAACAATACATTAAAAGGACCATATACCATGATCAAGTGGGATTTAGTCATGGGATGAAAGGTTGGTTCAAAATCCACAAATCAATTAACATGATATACCACATAAACAAAACAAAAGATAAAAGCTATATGATCATATTAATAGATGCAAAAAAATTTTGACAAAATCCAACATTCATTTATTTGATAAAAGCTCTCAGCAAAGCGGGAATAAAGGGAACATACCTCAACATAATGAAGGCCATATATGACAACCTCACAACTAACATCATACTCAATGGGGAAAACCTAAAAGAATTCTCCTTAAGATCAGGAAGAGGACAAGGATGCCCACTTTCACCACTTTTATTTCACATAATATTGGAAGTCCTAACCACATCAGTCAGACAAGAAAAAGAAATAAAAGGCATCCAAATTGAAAAGGAAAAAGTAAAACTGTCATTTGCTGATGACATAATTCTATATAGAGAGAACCCCAAAGAGTACACCAAAAAACCTATTAGAACCTATAAATTCAGTAAAGTAGCAGAATACAAAAATAATATTCAGAAATCAGTTGCATTTTTATACACCAATAATGAACTATCAGAAAGAGAAGTTAAGAATAGAATCCCGGGCCTGCCGAGTGGCGCGATGGTTAAGAACTCGCTTGGGATGCCAGAGGACCCCGGTTCGGATCCCACATATGAGGGCCAGTGACACTGCCCTCTACAGCTAAGATGCTGAACAACAGTTCAACCTGGAGCTGGGCTGCCGTGAGTCGCTGGCGACGGCGTAGGCTGCAGTCCCTGTGGCAGTGGGTTGCCATGGGCTCCCATATGTAGCCAGCAGCCAGCGTGAGCGGCCAGCAGCCGCAGTGAGCGGCCGTCCAGAAGCCGGCGACTGATCTGCCTCACCAGGGAAGAGCGCAATGATGGTGTCAACTTGGGCCAGTGAAGCAGCGTCCTCCACAACTACATTGAAGAACAAAATGACAGCAACTTGTCTGTTCCCTTCCCCCAATTCCCCATCACTGTTCCCATCCCCCCAATTACCCAATAAAAATCTTTAAAAAAAAAAAAAGAATAGAATCCCATTTACAATTGTATAAGAAAAAAATAAAATAAAATACCTAGAATAAATTTAACCAAGGAGATGAAAGACTTGTACTTGGCAAACTATAAGGTACTGAAGAAATAAATTAAAGAAGATACAAGTAAGTGGAAGCATTCAAGGATAGGAAGAATTGATATCGTTAAAATGACAATACTATCCAAAGAGTATCTATAGATTCAATGCAATCCCTATCAAAATACCAATGGCATTTTTCACAGAACTAGAACAAATAACCTTAAAATTTATATGGAACCACAAAAGATCCCCAATAGCCACAGCAATTTTGAGTAAGAAGAACAAAATTGGAGGTGTCACACTACCTGATATCAAACGATACTATAAGACTATAGCAATCAAAGCAGCATGATACTGGCATAAAACAGACACATATATCAATGTAACAGAATAGAGAGCCCATAAATAAACCCACGCCTGTATGGTCATTTATTCTATAACAAAGGAGTCAAGAAAATACAGTGAGGTGAGGTAAAGACAGTCTATTAATTAAATAGTGTTGGGAAAACTGGACAGGTACATGCAAAAAATGAAACTGGACCACTTTTCTACACCACATACAAGAATAAACTCGAAATGAATTAAAGGCTTAAATGTAAGACCTGAAACCATAAAACTCCTAGAAGAAAACCTAGACAGTAAATTCTCAGACATTGTTCTTGGTAATATTTTTTGTGATCTATCTCCTTGGCAAGGGAAACAAAAGAAAAAATAAACAAATGGGACTAAGTCAAACTAAAAAGTTTTTACACAGCAAAGGAAACCACCAACAAAATGAAAAGACAGCCTGCTGAATGGGAGAAGATATTCACCAATGATACATCTCATAAGGGGCTAATACACAAAATTTATAAAGAACTCATACAACTCAATACCAAAAAAACAATTAATTCTATTAAAAATGGGCAGTGGACTTGAATAGACATTTCTCCAAGAGGATAAAAAAACACAAAGAGGCCAATATACATATGAAAAGATGCTCAATGTCACTAATCATCAGAGAAATGCAAATCAAAACCAACAATGAGATTCCACCTCACTCCTATCAGAATGGCCATTATCAATAAATCAACAAACAAGAAGTGCTGGTGAGTTTGTGGAGAAAAGGGAACCCTGGTGCACTGTTGGTGGGACTGAAAATTGGTGCAGCCACCATGGAATACATTATGGAGGTTCCTCAAAAAATTAAAAATAGAACAACCATATGACCCAGCAATCCTACTTTTGGGTATTTATCTGAAAAGTCCAAAACACTAATCTGAAAAGATATATGCAGCTCTATGTTCACTGCAGCAGCATTTACAATAGCAAAGATATGAAAGCACCCCAAGTGCCTATAAATAGACAATTGGATAAAGAAATGGTACACATATACAATGGAATATTACTCGACCATAAAGAAGTAGTAAATCTTACCATTTGCAACAACGTGGATGGACCTAGAGAGTATTATGCTAAGTGAAATAAGTCACACTGAGAAAGACAAAGATCTCATTTATATGTGGAATCTAAAGAACAAAATAACAAACAAACAGAAACAAGCTCATAAACACAGAGAACATTTTGAAGGTTGCCAGAGGGGAGGGTGGTTAGAGAGCTGGGTGAAAAAGGGGAAGGAATTAAGAAATACAAATTAGAAGTTACAAAACAGTCATGGGGATATAAAGTACAGCATAGAGAATATAGTCAATAATGTTGCAACAACTATGCATAGTACCAGGTGGATAATAGACTAATTGGGGGGATCACGGCATAAATTATATAAATATCTAACCACTATGCTGTACACCTAAAAACTAATATAAAATTATATTGACTGTCAACTGCAACTGAAAAATAAGTAAATGAATGAATGAATGAATGAGTGAGTAAATAAATAAATAAAATTTATTTCCCACTCATGTAACATCCAATTGTCATAGGCAAGGATAGGCAGAGCTCCACTCTACACAATCTTACAAAGACCCCAGCTGAAAGGGGCAACACCATCCTCAGTGCATGACTGGCCCATGGCATAGACATCCAGCCAACATATAGGACAGACAGAGCAAAGGATCAGATAAGCCAGGTCTGGAAGTATTTACATCACTTTTGCCCATATTCTGATAGCCAGAACTCAATCACATGGTCCAAATTAGGTGCAAGTGTTTCTGGGAAATGTCATTCCTTGCTGACCATCCACCTCCCAGCACCATAGAAGGGAGAATAGTTTTTTGGTGAACAACCAACCCTCTGCCACACATCTCATTTACACTGTGGATGCTATCCATTCCCAAGCCTGTGGATAATGCCATAAATAATCAGATCAAGCCCAGTCCCATACAATCCAAAAGACTCATGTTTTGCTGTCTTGGTCTGTATTACATTTCGTTTGGAGCAGTGCTATGGAGCTGAGAGATGGTTCTTCCCACGAGGACGTGGCACTGAAGGATGAGATTATGCTAGCTCACCCTCATAGCACATACATTGCATAGCAGTGTTATGACCTTTTATGTTTCCTGTGTTCATACCCAAGGAGTTCTACCTTGTGAAAAAGGAGTGTTCCTCTGGTCCTAGTGGTAAATGGGCACATTAGCATGCTCGGTGCCCCAGGCGTTGGGCATCCAGCATCAGGCATCAAGATGTGCTATGGGACTAGGTCCTGGCCAGAATTTCCCTCAGTAATAATTTCTAGCTGTCCTTGTTCTCCTGTGAGCAGCTACTAACGATGTGATGCCAGGGGAAAACAGGCCTACGTAGACAACTATCATTTACATAATAAATTGTCCTGCTCCATGGCTTCATCACCCTCCTTCTATGTAGCTCTAGATTATTTTTAAGAATGGCAACATAAACTATCGTTTATTGTTATCCCATTATACTGTGCAAAGTATAGTACAACTTTTTATCTGTAATATTAACAATTGTTCTGCTAGGTAGACATCTGCTTTTCATTTTAAAATGAAGTATCTCAGCAAGGTTAAGTAGATCATTCAAGGTAAAGGATGAGTGGCTGAGCTGAAATTCAAGTCCAGACCTATGTAACTTTAAATGTTTTCTCCTTCCTGCATGCCATATGACAAGTACCACCAGCTCCCCCACCATCGCACCATGGGGTGCTTATCACCAGCTTCCAAAAGCAAATGCTTAGCACACACAAAGCAAACACCAACCCATTCATCCTTCTCTGGCAAGGCTCAGCCAAGGAAGGCTTCTCAGACTGCTCAGGACCAGCCCGGGCACCTTCGCCTTGATAGGGTAACCCTTGCATGCAGGAAGTTTGAACAAACTCATTGGAGAGTGAGAGCTCATTGTACATAACTCTGCATAGCAATAACATATAATCTGTAGCCACACCCACTCCTTTTCAGCCATGCTAAAGGTAAGCTGCAGAGACACAGGTGATTTGGATTATTCACATCATCATCATACAAAGCTGCCTTCTCACCACTTCACAGAGTTGCTTCTTCACAGTCAACAGTGAGGTATCCCTTCTATGTCTCCAAAGATGTTACAAAAGCAGCATCGATTCAGAGAGTGACCACTGGTCACCAAGGGAGCCTTTTTGCCAAGCCACAGAACATTTTAAAAGATAGTTACTAAAGTCAAGAATCCATATTATTTAGTAGCACCCTCTCCAGTGGAACATTCTTGTGTGCGTCTTTGGAGGCTTGAAGCAAAGGCACAGCATTTTGGCACTGGAGAATAGGGCAAAGAAAAGAACACTGCCTGTTCACCCAGTGCCATTATTAAAGTAATGACTTCTTTTATTGGAGTACTTAAGATTGCCAGGAACTATGCTTGATGCTTTACACGTGTTGTCTTAGTCAATCCCCACAATGATCCTATAAAGACTATAAAATTATTATTTCTATTCTACAGAAAGAAAACAAAAGCAAACTAAGAGTCAGATGAAGTAAGCACATCGCAAATGACAGCAGAAGAACTGGAGCCCAGTTTTGTCTGTCTCTAAAGCCCGTGTTCTTTTCTTTGTACCAGCTGACCTAGCGCTGTTTGCAAAGAACGCCAGCCAGAAGGAAATCCCGGCATGGAGTGGGAAGGCTGTCCAGTGCTCCATGGCAGAGTCATTGTGCAGTTACAAGAAAGGGAACACAGTGTTCCGAAGTTGCACAAGGAATGTAAACAAAACACATGGAATCTCTCAGAATTGGTGCCAACCCCTTGCTGGAGGTTGAGTTCAGAAAAAGCTTTTGTGTAGCATTTGACTAAGTAGCTTGGCCCCCAAAATACTAAAAGAAAGTGGTGAAAGCAATGACTGAGTTTTGCAAGTGTCTATGCATTTAAGGTAGTTTATTTCTTCCTAAGCAAATGGCTTCCTTGCTTACATCAGCTCTCAAATGCTTACTGAGCTACTTAAAAATTCCGAGGAAAATTAGAACTAGCTTTTATAAGGAAAAATCCCAAAGCTGACATTTGTTGATGAAAGTAATTTCACAAGGTTTCACAGATGGTCTTGGTACTTCACAGTAAATCCTAATGTCATCTTTTTAAGATTTGTAACCACTTATGGGGGCAACAGTAGGATGGAGTTACATGAAGGGCCGCTGCCAGCATGTCCCTTCATACACAATAAATAACTAGATCAAGGTCAGAAGTGCTTCAACTGCTTCAAAAGAAAATGCTCACATGTAAAAATACATATATTATTTTATCATATTTTATTTGTAACTGGGGTTTTAGGAAATTATAGGTACAAATGAGTGCATCAAATGTACCATTTACTGAGTGTGTTAGGGCCTACATATATTATCTTATTTCACCCTAAGAGTACCTTGTGAGTTTGTGGAGAAAGGGATTCTCATGTCCATGCTAGAGACAAGGAAACTGAAATTCAGGGAGGTTAAGTGACTTTTCTCAAGAACACAGAGGTAATACATGTCTGAGCTCAGATTCAAACCCAGCTCTCTCTGCTCCAAAGACAAGCTCTTTATCTGTTGTCTGAATAACAGATGAGGTTTTCTTTTTTTAGCTGAGCCTTCCTGCCACCTGTTGGCAGCTCAGTGGTCGCCCAGTTCGGACTGGGAATTGAACCGGTGACCCTGTTGCTCAGAGCTCACACTCTTGAACGAGCTCTTAACCAACCAACTGAGCCACTTGGACGGCATTAGACGAGGTTTTCTAACACAACTGTACCACTGCTCATCTGAGAGACTAGAGGACGTCTGTATCACTTTGAATTTCCCCTTCCTCATAGGCCTCTTAGGAATCCGTGGGAGTAGAAAAAAAAAAAAAAAGATTTTTATATGTGCTCAAAGGTTGCTTTTTTGTTTTTGCTATGTGCTTGGCTCTTTCTTACCCTACATATCGATCACATGCCAAAATCCCCAAATTCTACTATCCATTAAGTGAAGCAATACATAATTTCATCAATCTGAAAGTCATGTTTTTAAGCTCCAAGACTTTGCCCACAAAAATCCCATGCATCATGGGATTCTTAGCTCTAATTATTGAGTCCTTTCACATCTTTTGCTATTTGGAGGCTTTCACCTTTCCAGGCATAAAGTTGTGACTGGATGCAACTTTAAGACTGAACCTCTTGGCCTCTTGGAGCCTGTCAGCCTCATTTGCCTGACCTCATCTTGTCTGGGGCTAAGGTAAACTGGCATCGTTTTGCCAATTTCAGGATCCTGGAGGGCCTTTCTGTAGTTTAACATCATCCTTCAATTCCCAAAAGATTTTGATGACATCATAGGCCATAGATTTGGAAACTTCATTATATCATCCTATTCCTGGTTACTTCTGAAAATGATCAATAAAACCAACTTCTGATGTTCCCAATTTCAAAGGGACCACATGGTCAATATTTCTTTGTCATGGATGCTCAGGTTGTTTTAAAGACAGGAAAGAAGTGTTGCTTCCCTTGATCCATTTTGAACAGAAGTGTTTGAACACGCTTCTGTAAAGTCTAAGAACTCATCGCCATTGTCTCTCCCTTTCTTATTTCCATCTTCCCCCACCTAAACTATGGCCTCCTGCCACATGACAACTCACTCATGTTTTGAGCTTCAAAAGACCTAACCCAAAAAAAGCATGGCGTTAACTTTTACCCTGGCCTATAGCTTGAAAAGAGAATAGATAAGGAGCGAGCCTACCCACTTCTCAGGTCAGATCTTCAGTAAGGGGAAGTAGAGGAGGAACTCATACAAATTCCTAATAGGTTTGGGCAGATTAAAGCAGAGAAAGACAAGAGTTGATTCAAATTTTGTGGGACCCTGAAGCTTATATAATTTGGAGTGCCCCCTTGAAGGAAAAGAATGCAACATTATAAATGTAAAAATAGGTATGAATGTTAATAATTACAGTGAGAAAATAACACAAGACAATATATTAATTTAAAACTAGCAAATAACACAAACACCACAAAGTCCAAAAAATTAAGGTTTTTCACTAATTAACTGCTTAAAACACTTTTAACATATATTTCTTCGCTGCCTATTTCATAATATTTTTATAGAAATAGTGTAAATATAAACAGCTTTTTCTCCAGCATGTTTATCAAAATTTGTTTTTATTATTAAGAAGTTTAGAAAAGTTCCTTTCAACTTTACAAGTGTTTATTGATAATGTCACATAAATATTTAGGATCGTTTTCAAGTCTGGGGAAACCTCTATGGTCTCTCTTTCACAAAGGACTTGTTTCAGGTGTTTTCACCATTTGCAATATTGCTACAGCTTTGTGTCCCGTAAACATAGAAATTCTGAAAAATTCTATTTCATGCACATTCTATCAAAAATAAAAAATGCATATGGTGAATTTACAATTAAATACTCTGCATTATCAAGGTCATATTCCCAACTGGGAAGAACAACACTTTTGAGTTGGCATCAGTGAGAACCTAATCCTCTACTTACAGTTTTATACTTGGAGGGCTAGAAGAGTTTTCTACAGACTAGCTTCTGACTCCACACATTTCAAACATTGTTTCTCTTCCACTCCTTATGTGCTTCTAATGCTGGTGCAAATTGTTCTCTCATTCTGCACATTTATGTCCTAACACTGGGTAAATCTGCCCAGTGGGCTGGGGAAGCATTCTTGGAAGCCATTCCTCATCAGGATGGTTATTAATAACTATATATAATTTGGTCTGAAAACCACATAAATATATCCCATTTAACCCAAACTAAATATATCTCCAACCCAAACACCCTTAAAGCAAATATGAAAAACACCCAGGACCACTCCCAACACCAACACAAGGAAAATAGAAACAGACAGGAAGCCAGACTGGAACAAAAATACAGCATTTTTCTTACTTTAATATCTTACTTTTGCAAATTCTATTAACATGTGACCTAAGTCCTTATGGGGACTTAGAAGAAGCCAGAGCAAGTCAGGGACCCTGCAGCATAAGCTTCAAGAGCTTCATGTTAAAGTTCCCTGGGCAGTAACATTTCAAGGAATCCAGCAAGAGATCCAAGATGGCGGAGTAGATAAACACTGTGCCTGTGTCCTTCCGTGATCACATTACAATTACAACTAAATTATAGCACAATCAACCTGGAGAATCATCTGAAGTCTAGCCAAACAGAAGTCCTACAACTAAAAATATAAAGAAGAAACCACATGGAGACTGGTAGGAGGGGTGGAGACATGGAACGGGCCCCAAGCCTTATGGCAGTTGAGAATCAGGAGGGATGTCTCGGCCATGGAGTTTGCCTCCAGAGAACCAGGAACCCCAGGCCCCCACACCAAGCTCCCCCGCCTGGAGTACTAGTGCCAGGAAGAGGAGCCACCACAACATCTGGCTGTTAAAAAAAAGTCGGTCTTCCAACCATCTGGGTGGGGCAGAAGGCTGCAGGAAACCCAGACATCCTCTTAAACGACCCTCACATAGACTCACTCTCTCACAGGCGCTCACCTTGGGCTCCAGTGGAGGGATGGTGACTGAGGGGGCCTTGGAGACATATGGGGGCAGACTGATGTGTGTGGCTTCAGGGGGAGGACTGGAGAACAGTCAGCATTTTGCCAGTGAGGGGCCGCCTCCCATGCAGCCAGCCATTGGGAGCCATCTTTCCTGTGTTGGGTCCTCCCCCACAGACCAAATCTGAATCTAATTGGCCTAGTGTGCTCTGCTGCTCCACCCTACTGACTCAGCTGGGAACCTGCCCCACTAAATTCATATACCACAGGAGGCACTTTCTCCTCAAGCAGCCAGTCCCTCCCACATTGCACTCTTTCTTGGAAAACTATGAGAGTCCACCAGCCCCAAGTGGGCAGCGACTGGCCTCAGTGTGCTCTGAGACTTTTGCTGAGTTGCTCCAGTCTCAGCACTGGCACTAAAACAGTCTACATTAACCTGGTGACCACAACTCTTCCCATCTAGTGAATCCTTGAGCCTCTGCCTCACCCAACTCGAGTACCACATGAAGCTTTATCAGTGGCTGAAACTTAAGGGAGCTGGCAGGTGGCAGCAAGCCACTAGGTGTCCTGCCTTTTTGTGGAGTTACCTCAGGCCTGGTACTGGTGGCAGCCATCCTCAGTTCACAGTGTGGCCTCTCCCATGTGCCTCCAGGTTTAGCACAGACAGTGAACAACCACGGATCACATTGTAGTTCCTACCAGGTAGCCCTGGTCAGTCACAGGTTGTGGCTGACCTGGACCTGTACCAGAGCCCCTCCCAAGAGGCCCTAGAACCAACATACTTGGAGGTTGGCTTCAGAACCTAGCAGAGCACTGTCCAATTAGCTCCCCAAGTGACACACACAAAGTGGTCTCAACAGGCTCCAAAGCCCACTGTGGTGAATCCCACTCAGTGGGTTAAGCCTCCTGCACAGTAGTCCATAAGCTGTGGATGTGGCCAAACCCCACAGCCAGTCAGCCTTAGGGTCAATGCCACCTACTGATGTGCCAATAGCAATCAAGGGTCAACTTGATATAACAGGAAGGCACACACAGCCCACACAAGGGACACTCCTGGAACACCTGACTCAGGTGACCAGGGAGACTGTGCCACTGGCCCCACAGGACACCTACTACATAAGACCACCCAGCCAAGACTGAAAGACATAGAAGATCTACCTAATACATAGAAATAAACACAGAGAGGCAGCCACAATGAGGAAACAAAGAAATGCATTCCAACTGAAAGAACTGGAGGAGAAAGAACTCCAGAAATAGAAGTAAACAAAATGGAGGCAAGCAAACTACCAGAGACAGGGTTCAAAACAATTATTAAGATACCTAAGGAACTTAGTGAGAATTTCAACAAAGAGATTGCAAGTATAAAAAAGGACATTGAAACCTTAAAAAAGAACCAGTCAGAAGTGAAGAATACAATAACTGAAATGAAGAATGCCCTAGAAGGAATCACAAGCAGACTACACAAAACAGAGGATTGAATCAGCAATTTGAAAGACAAAGTAGCAGAAAACACCCAATCAGAATACAAAAAAGAAAAAAACAATCCA